GAACTTCTTAAGGAGGAGGATGAGGGATGTCTCAAGAAATACAGGCGGCGGTGCATGCGGGAGATGCATGACAAGCTGAGCTTTGGGCCCAAGTTTGAAGGTGTACATGACCTGGACAATGGAGAGGCCTTTCTAGAAGTCATCGAAAAGGAGCATTGCAGCACAGTGGTGGTTGTCCACATATACAAGGTTGGAGTCAAAGGTTGTGAGGAGCTTAACAATTGTCTTGATTGCCTGGCCACTGAGTACCCCACTGTAAAGTTCTGCAGGATTGATGCTGTTGCATCTGGCGCTGCTGAACGTTTTTCAGATGACGTTTTGCCTACGCTGCTGTTGTACAAAGCTGGAGAACTAATAGGAAACTTCCTGGCCTGTATGCGGCATCTAAACGAGGAGTTTTTCGCAACCGATGTGGAGGCTTTTCTCAACAGCTACGGCCTCTTGCCAGAGAAAGACCTGCCAGGACTGGAAGATGAAGAAGAAAACGATGTAGAATAAACACAGAGTTTGGCTGCTGAGGAAGAAAGGAAGCTGTCTCAGAAGGCTGGAGTGGACAAGTTATTCCTTTGGGCTTAATAGAAAAAAGCATTTGATTGAATTGATCTGTACACGTTATTTATAAATCCAAGGAAAATACATTGTGATGTCCCCAAATATACAAAACGCATGTACACTTAAGGTCTTTATGATTTTGGCCAAAAAAAAAAAAAAAGATATTTGAGGAACTAAGCAGAAAAGGGACTTAAGAGGCCAAAGCAGTCTGGATGTGGAAACATTTTTGTGTAAATATGTCTGATCCTTGCATCTTAAGCCAGTGTGATGGGAGGTGCATATTGTGTAAAAACATTCACACATGTACCTCTGGTACATTAACATTAATCAGTGAAATGAAACAGACAAAAAAGGGGGTTACTTTTTGTGGTAGTAATATGAATCAGCCTACAAGTCCTTGACTTGACACAATGGTCAATATCATTGTCATCATTTAATTTTGCTAGGGATTTGGTTATTACTTCAAACTGTATACAGGAATCTGATGAAACAAATCCTAATATACATGTTGTTCAGGATAAAAAATAATAATAAAATTTAATAAAATAGTAAAGTTTTTCATTGCATCTTACTCATTTACAATTAAAACCATAGCCATAACTTGTCATTTCTATTCCTCAAGCTGTGTTGGTCTCTATTCTGATTACACAGAAATACTGTAATATGCTAATCAGTGAGTTTTAGAAGTGCTGCTAACTGTTTCCCCACGTTTCCAGTGTTTGTGCTAAGATCAGCAAACCATGTACTGGCTGTAGCTTCATATTTAATATATAGAATGAAATTCTCTCATCTAACTTTATCCAAGAACACAAATGATAATATTTCCCAAAATGCTGAACTATTGCTTTAAATGTTATTCTCATTCTGAGATTCTGTCTTAAATACTGAGGGCATACAAAACACTCCAGCATAATTTTTAAACTGTCTCACAAGATTCAGCCAATGAGGCTCCGCCATCTAAATGTTCACATTTCAAATTCACCATCAACATCTAGACTGCAGTTTTTACCTAACCCATTCATCTTCACCGGCTTGTATTTTATGCCGATGATACTCTTTGATACAAATCCTATTCAAACCTATGTGTTAATATCGAGTATATACTGTAGCTACACCCCAACTTTTTTTAGGAATATGTCATTTAAAAGACCTTGAAAAGACTTCAGTTGCAGCTAATTTGTAAGAATTGTCTTTCACACATGCACACAATCATTTTACCTTTTCTTCAGAAAGAGGTACCAAGGGGGGAAAACTGCAAAATGCACACATGCAATTAGACATACCATTGCAGCAAACTCCTCTTTTCTCTTCCACTGAAGCAGGCCTACACATGTTAAGTAACCTCAGCTGTTAGGTTTGTAGCACAGACTCCCCTTTGACCCCAGTGAACTGCAGGCATGCCAGGACCACAACATAAAAGCCAATGAAGATTTTTTAAAAGATTTTTTTAAGTAAGTACTTGCAGTACTAACCTCCAGTTTGATATATTTTGAGCTAAACTGAGTTGCCTTATATCTGTAGAAATGGTCAAACACATTACCACACAAGCACAAACACTGGCACATTAGTAACCATGGCTTTGCTGTAAAAGCTGATAATTTGTGTATATAACTTTTTTAATAGAAGAATATGTATATGTTTCTGTGTTATCAGAATAGAGCCGGTTCAACGTTGTCTTTTTCAAACTCAATGATTCTCCTGACTCTCCAGGCACTTCAGACAACAGCTATTTAATTGTTGTTTTTCTCCTTCTTCTGGTTGTCAGTGGAATTAACAATTAGAGTAACAACAACTAGAGTAATGAAACTGTCATAATATCAGACAGCTTGTAATGCTTCATCAAAGAGTGCCATTTGATGATGCATAGTGCAGAGATCTGTGCGGAGGTTTTAAGGTCAGTCCTCTTCAGGATTAAGGTTGTAGCTTTAGTAGTGATAAACAAACAGTTGTGTTAATAGTTTCCCCAGACGGCGATCTACGTGGGAACCACACATGAGTTCATATCCGTTCTGACCTTCCAGTGTCTTCAACATGCCCACCAATGATTGAACAGATAAGGCGAATGAATCGAAAGCATGAAAATCGCCCATTTTGAGAGGTGGTGTACTCATGATGGCACTCAACTCGGACTGCACTAGTTGGCGGTGCTGCCCGTACCTATCCTGTAAGGCTTGCAAGGCTGCCATGTATGGTTGTGGGTGATGCATATATGCCTTTGCCAGTGCGTAGCAGCTGGCTTTAAAGAGTGCTAAGAGTGCCTTTATACCTGTTTAGGCCCAAAGACAAAAAAACCACCATAGCTGACTGTTAAACTGAATAATATGGGTTCATACACACTACACCTGCTTTACAGTATGCCTTTGCATAAGGACCACCAGACACAAGATGTCTGTGGCTTCTTGTTAATAAGTTTCAATAATTGCTTAGAGATTGCCTGCAAAGGGGCTCTTGGCTTGTAATTAACTTTAAAATCAAAAGCTAGTGAACTGTAACATGCCAACACATATTTTTCTAAGGATATACTGCACATGTGTCTGTGATTCCACCATACCACATCTGGCAGGGCTTGCACAGCCTCTAGCAGGCAACACCTCACTTTTATATGGTAGCGTGTCTAAGATTTGTCAAAACCTTTTTCATGCCTCCCACAAGAGCATTTTGAGCAGTGAGAGGTTTCCCCAGGGTGCCCAAACATGGCAGCCACTCTGGGTGCTGCTGACCTGTGCACTGCAAGAGTGGAAGCTAGCTAACCAAAACATTTCATATTTCAGGCTTTTGTGCCACCACTGGCCCAAATAAAATAGTTTTTACTTTTTAATATGTCTCTGAGCTTCCACCTCATATCACAGTGATGTGCAGTGTATGTGGCATTCTTCCAACAGGAACTTGAGTTCAGTAAGTGCAACAGCTGAGAGTCCAGCCAAGGGCTGAGATAATAGTCAGCTTGATACAAGATGATTCATCTGTAAGACTGGAATAAACATTAAACAAGTGACCAAACCAACACATAACCAATGTGTGGGCTTTTTCTAAGACTCAGACTTTATGGACTTATCAAAATAACTTTGCTGAGCAAACTCATGAACAGTTTTTGCATGTCCACATTTGGCAGTGTTTCAGGCTTTACTCAGTCTAGCTTCTTGGAACAGGACCCAGAATGTGATTTGACTCATCACTCCCCTGAAATGAATGTTTACCTCCGTGTTTACCCCTGTAGTGACCATCTGATCCCACCCCCGTTTTCTGACATTTGGATTCCCCCTTTGTTTATACTGCTTTGCTGTTTTTGTGTTTGGGCTCCTGAAAAGCAATGCTGCCACGCTCCAGTTCACCCACATAAAAAACAATTTCACTGAGGTGATGTCATGAGATGGCTGATGAAGCCTGCTTAGAGATGTAGTTGGCACCTAAGACCAAATATGGAAAGCGGATGTGGGGGAGGTAGAGGGTGACATCGGGGTGCTGTGCTCATTTGTTGTCATCATACATGAAACCCTATTTTATCTGTCCTGGTTTGGAAATTTGTAAGTTCTTCATGACTCATTCTATCTGATGCTGTGATAATATAAATGCTATTGTTTGACACATTTAGTCCTGATAAGATTAAACTTTTACATATAAAAAAACAGATGCGTCCATTAAACATTAAATACTATTATGTTATTGATCAAACAAAATGTGAGCAAATTATTAACTGATAACAGGAAGGACAGTAGAAGAGATAAGAATCGCTGGTATGAGGATGAGAATGAGTAACAAAGCTGTAACTCCTGTGGGAAAATAATTTATAGAGCACACAAACCCCCCACATGGGCTGGTCTTACTAGGGTTTTGTATGCTATACTGAGTTTTATGAGTGTTTGAGTGAATGGAAAGATGCAGGGATGAAAGAAAGGATGGGTAGATGGATGAAAATGGGTAAATCACTATCCATCCAAAGTTCTTTTGAATTGTTGTCTCACTGTAAGAGACAGACCATTTACATTTATTGAATGTTACAGGGAATTTCAAATAGAAAATTGTTTGTCCAGGTGAATCACACCTGAAACACAGTAGACTGCAGTGTGTAGGTGTCCATGCTTATGGGTTTCACTCTATGACAAGTGCTGACAACAACCAACATGGCTGAATCAGATAAAGAGGTTTGCACTAATGTTGCCATTTGTGCATCTTGGTATCCAGGTGGGACAGCCAAGTGTAAGAAAATTGTTCTGCTGCCTGAAGCAAACCCCTGCCTTAATGCTTTTCCTGTTTGTTCAGTTGGTCTTTTGTCTACCAGAAGTATCACCTTGGTTATGAACCAATAAACCACTGAGGTAGCTGTCAAAACTGGTCCAGACAGGGTCTGAATACCAATAAGGCATATGTCACCAGGGACACATTTAATAAATGGCTGAATTAAAAAATGAGAATGCAATAACCCACATAAGGAGTAATTAAAACTTATAGCATTTCAATATAATTTAAAGTTACTGTATATTTGAAAAGAAAACATGTTTTTGATTAATTTTAGACATTCAACCTTCAAGAATCTGGAATTTACAAAAGCATTCTCTTATGTATTATTTTACATGGTCGGCTATTACAAGCACTAAAGTTACAAAAATACCATTTTTGTAGGACAATTATGTGGCATGTATTGTAGTATATGAATCTTTGAAGGGAACAGAAATAAGGCCAATCATTCAATGGTAAAATGAACACTATTGTGGTGAGAATATATTGCATGTATCCAAGATTTTTAAAAAAATAAAGAGTTTGTAGTACAAATATCAAAAGCCATATAAAAACAACCTCTGAAAATGTTTGAGAATTACAAAACTCATATTTTATTTATTTCTTAAAAATATTAAACTATATAAAATTATATTTTCTTTCAATTTTATTTTCCTACTTTATGCTGCAAATGTTGTTGCAAAGCTTTCCCTGTATGTCATATATACTTGTGATAGAGATTTCTAAAGGCTTAATTTATATAATTTTTCTTTAAAAATAGGATAAAAATGTCACAATTAGCATTACAATCTTACACATGCAACTCTTCTTCATGTCAATAAATTCCCAAAATTCTCCAAAATATTACTGGATACTTTGCAGCTCATTATGACACATACAGTATATGGGTGGATACATATAGAAACACAGGCTAGTGTATATCCAAAGCTTACTGTTAAAAATACCAAGTATCTGTAGTGGCCATTTAACCCTGTACAAAATGCACCTTAAAATTTAAACTGGTGTATGTACAACACATTTTTTATGAAGCCTCCAATGGTTATTGTGTCATGAGGATGGATTGATTGTTGTGGTTGGTGGGAAAGATTGCTGTTTTGCACCTTATTGTAATATTACTGGAATCATTTTTAGGTTGGTCACTTCTGAACTTCCCAGAAGTATGCAAGTTAGGTTTTCCAAAAGAAACACCCTTTGAATGAATTACATCCTCCCTTTTCGGGCCACACATACACACACTACATTGATGCTGTACTCATGGCACCATCTGCTGTTCATTTTTGGCTGAGGGAGTGAGCATTGAGTCAGCACCAGAGGTTATTAACAAATAACAAATTACTTTAATAAATCAGCTGTTCAGAATGCAGCTTCACCTTGTTCTAATAACCAAAATTCTTTAGGTTAAAGCCTATTAAATCTTTTTTTCAAGTGAATCCAAAGTTCCATACTTATAAGTACCTTAGGTCATTTGTTAACATTCGTGTTTTGATCCTTTACCAAGTAAAGCAGCAACACCACGAGTGTAAAAGTCCTGCATTCAAAACTGCAATCATGTAACAGTATTACTGTATTACCATCACTGTGTGTGTGTGTGTGTGTGTGTGTGTGTGTGTGTGTGGTTGTTCGACTGCGTGCTGGCCCTGCAATGGACTGGCAACCTGTCCAGGGTGTACCCCGCCTTTTACCAGCTGGGATTGGCTCCAGTCCCCCCACGACCCCGTTCGGGACTAAGCGGTATAGAAAATGAATGAATGAATGAATATTATCACCATCACAATTACCCAAAGTTCAAAGCAACATCTTCAAATGTTTTGTTTTGTCTAAGTAACAGTCTAAACCTCAAAGTTATTAGGTTTACTGTTATTTAAGTCAAAGAACAGCCATAGATCATCACACTTGAGAGGCTGAAATATGATATGTTTAAATTTTTATGTGAAAATTACTTAAACAATTAGCCAGTTATATTGACTAAATCAACTAATCAATTAATTGACTGGTCATTGATGCTTAAACTGTATAGCCTGCTGTTGTTTTTATTTTTTTTTTAAACAAATCATGTATTATACACATTGCTGTAAAATCAGATTGAAAACATTAAAAATAAATAAATTCGAAAGTGAAAGGAATGAAAGTTTGTTTTTAAACCATGTATTTATTTGTGTATTTATTCACTTATTCATTAGGTTGTTTATTACAAATAATAGCCTAAACTTACGTTTGTGTCCCTTTTTTATTGGGTAAGTCCACATTACAGAAATACATGTCCCAAAATGCTCCAGGACCACCACGATAAAGCCAAACTGCGCGTGCGCCTGCGCTTGCACGTAGTGTTGTCGGAAAAATGGCGGCACTACTGCTGGAGGAGTTGGAAGGTTCTGAACTATCTAAATTATCAAAAACATCTCAAAACAAACTGGAGAAGATTTTTTCGGATCAGCAGTATGAAATTGATTCTTTGAAAGCACAACAGGAACAGTTTCGGGTTGACAGCGGTAAGTTGTTGCCGTACTGTTTTTCTAGCTAGCGGTGCTAAAGTGTTTGGCTTTGCTCAGCATGCATACATATTAGTGAACGGAGCAAGGTTAAAGTGAATCATTCTACTTTGAATTTAGTATCACATCAGCGAATTTAGGAATTTAAGCAAGTGTTGGGTAAAAATCAAGGTTGACCTTGTTCATGTGATGCTATCTAAAGCCAACGTTAGCTAACTTACTGAGCTAACGCTAGAGTTAACGTAGTTTCGATTTAGCTAAATAAGATTTGATTTGGTATTGTTATGTCATAAGACAATCCACAACAGCACACTTGGCATCATATTCGGTAAAAGAGGAGAAAAAACGTGAGATATAACAAATTGAACACTTAGGTGCCGCTGTGAACCAACCAATGTGGCGTTTCATATTTGTGTTTTTGTTGACCGTCTTCTTACAGAGCAGCATTTCTTTGAAAAAGTCAAACAGCTTGCTCAATGTCAGGAAGAGTTTTTGTCCAAGAATCAAGAACATCTTAAACTCAAGGAGGAGTTTAAAAAACTTGGTAAGAGTGAACTTAATACATACACTAATGTTCTATATTGGCTCAGCTCGACTCCACTTCGTTGGGTTGTATTAACACACTTCATGATTTTGGCTTTTTTCTTCAAATCTTATTTAGGGGAGGAACTTAAAAGTATGCATGAGAAGAATAGGGAATATGAATCAACCCAAGAGAGATGTTCATCAGACCTGGTAAGTAGAAATCAGCAGTATTAATAACCAGTTTGTTTTAGACATGGGCCGAATACTTTCGCAAGGCACTGTATATACATACATACATACATACATACATACATACATATATATACATACATACATATATGTGTGTATATATATATATGTGTGTATATATGTGTGTGTGTGTGTGTGTGTATGTATATGTATATATATATATATGTGTGTGTGTATGTATATATATGTATGTATATATATATATATGTATATATATGTATATATGTGTATGTATGTATATATGTGTATGTATGTATATATATATATGTGTATGTATGTATATATATATATGTGTATGTATGTATATATATATGTGTATGTATGTATGTATGTATGTATGTATGTATGTGTATGTATGTATATATATATATATATATATGTATATATATACACATACATACGCACAATTATAGAGTAAGCGTGTTTTAAAAATTTGACGTTTTTAAAAGAAGCCATTTTCGGTTTCGTTTCGGTTTTCGGCCAAATGCATCCTAAATTTTCGGTTTCGGTTTCGGCCCAGAATTTTCATTTCGGTGCATCACTACATATTACTATTTATATTTTATGTCAATGTGTAGCTGTTTTAGAGCTTAATTAACTTAATGCTCACATGATGACTTAACAAGCTTAAAATGTTTAGAAACCATCTGTCATTGGTATTTTGGGAAAGTGAAAACACAATAATATAAACAGTGGTTTGCAAGAGGTGCATTTGGTTATTGTTTCTGTCTTTGAATTTCCTACTGACATACATGAGGAGAAGAATACTTTTGAAAATGTTACATAAAGTACATTTAGAGTGAACCACATTTTTAAATTAACTTACCACAGGTAATATTGATATTGACAAAATTTCTGCTATACTTGGTAAGTAGCACTTTATATACAAGTGATACCAGCAAAACACTATGTTTGAATTTATGGCTTGTTGTAGACTCTGCTCACCAGAGCCAAAGAAGAGCTGGAGACGGAAAAGCGAGAGCTTGTGCAAACACTGGAGAAGAGATCCTTGGAAGTGGAGCATTTAAATGGTATAGACAGTTGAACTTGTATAGAGACATGCTTATTTTTTTATTTGTATGTACTAACTGTCACTTTATCATTATACTTACATTATATTGGTTGCAGATGACTTGAGGCAACTCAGTGATAAGCTAGTGGAAGTCAACACCTCTAAGATGGCCCTGCAGATGAAGTTAGATGAGCTTGAAACAACTGAAGTCAACATTAAAGTGAGCTATGCTGTTATTTTTAAACTGAAATAATATCTTAATTTGATTTGTCCATAGAGGAAGTGTTTCCTTATAAGCAAAGTTGTGGTGGTCTGGTGTTTCAGTACAAGGAGAGGCGTATGGAACAGGAGAAGGAGCTACTCCATGGTCAAATATCCTGGCTGAATAAGGAGTTGAAGGAGAAGAGTGAAGAACTGCTGTCCCTCTCCCGAGAGAAGGGAAATGAGATCCTGCAGTTGAAATGCACCCTGGAGAATAAAGAGAATGAGGCAAGTAATTTTTTCTTTATTTACTAATACATCTTTATCTAGCAAGTACTATGTTAATGATACAGTACCAATAGTTAAGTTTGTGAAATTACATTACAGTATAGAGAATTGATGCGCAAGCCAGTACACCACTAGCCTTGCACATAAACAGAGATGGTGTCATTAGGTACTTACTCTTATTTTTCGTCCATTACCCAATGACCAACTGATTTTATTGTAGTGTTTAGCTGACTATATAGACACAGGTGTTTCAGAACACCCGCCTCTGGTGTAAATTACTCAGAGGTTAGTCTTGGGAAAACTGAAATAAAGGGGTGCAAGTGTATTGAGCACAATGAGAATCCACAGTTTACCACAGCTAGCTAAAGGTTTATGGGACAGTTTTGCTGACTCTATAGACATTGGTGTTTCTAATTCCCATAAGAAAGTACACCTGCCTCAGATATTAAAATACTCAGAAGTTTGTCTTGGAAAGATTAAAGTAAAGGGGTACAAAATGTAATGAGAACAGTGAGAATCCACAGTCTGCCACGGTTATACTAAAAGTACTAGGTATCTACTCATACATGCCTGTACTGTTATATAATTGTTGCTTTTAAGTAATTTTTAAAGCTTATCTAATTAGCATTCTAATGTTTTATCTATATATGTAGTGGGATAAAGTTCTGACTGTAGATACTGCACACTCTGCACTGCTGTTATTGCACTTCTGGTTAGATGCTAATCTGTATTTCATTACCTTGTACTTGTACATGGGTAATGACAATAAGGTTGAATCTAATCTATATATGCATTTTAATTTTTTATTCATTCTTGTAAAGCACACTGAATTGCTGTTGCTTAGGAAAATGTGCTATATAAATAAACTTGTCATATATTATTGTTGTTGTTGTTGTTGTTATTTTGTTTTCACTTCCAGTTGAACCGACTACATGACCAAGTGGCCAGTTTGAAGGCTTCAAATGAGAATCATCAGAGACAGAATGAAGACCTGATCAGCAAAGTAAAAGAAGTATGTGTGGCTATTACACAGAAGACTCACATTACTTTTTAAAAGTATTTTCTCCATTAAAATTGCAGTATTGCAAGCACTCAGTGTAAGATTTTATCATTGAATAGCATGACTGGATCTTTATGCATTTTAGGTGAAGGAGCAACAAGCCACCATGGAGGAAAAGTTCAGAACTGAGCTGAATACCAACATTAAGCTCTCCAATTTATACAAGGTATGTTCACATGTGAAAGCGAGCCCGAATAGTCCAGTACTGAATATGAACATAACATTTACTCCCAGTTCACTGTATTTTTAGTGAGTGCTACTGTCTCACAACTAAGAACACACAAGCAAACCTTACCGCTTTGATTAGACAAGAAAGTAAGTGTATATACTATTTTTTTCCAATAACAAGAAAAATCAAATGTGATTATAACTAGACAGGTTCCACCCAGGACTTTAATTTACTGACTGCTGCAAGAATTCTGGTGAAAACATGTTGCATTGGTGTTTTCTCCTTTTACACTATAGTGCTCTGAAAATTAAATGAGAATATTTAATAAGTGGATTTATAAGCAAGCATTATATTTCCCTGGTAGGCTAGTGGTTAAGCGCTGCGCCCCGGGTTCGAATCAGGGTTGCATCAGGAAGGGCATCCAGCGTAAAACACATGCCAAATGTCAACATGCGAGTCATCAGTGTGACGATGCGTTGTGGCGACCCCTAAACGGAAAAAGCCGAAAGTGACTTTCTGTCAGCAAGCATTATATTTACTGTGACTTTTGTTGTGGTGGCAGGGAGCAGCCGCAGATTCTGAAGCGAAAAGTGAAGAGCTGAGTCGAGCAGTGGAGGACCTACATAAGCTGCTAAAAGAAGGTGGAGAAGGTGTGGCTAGCACAAAATGACCACAGCTGGCCTTCCTGTCATCTAGTGCTTGATTTCTTCATTGAAGGAGATAGTCTGGCTGTACTGAATTTTGTTTGTTTAGATTTGTGGTTTGACTGACTAAATGAGTTTCCATTGTTGGTATTCTCTGATGTTTGCTCTTTTTACTGCCTCAGCCAACAAGGCCCTTGAGGACAAGTTGCAGGAGATGAATGGTGCCAGAGAGAAGGATGCTGCTGAACTAAAGGAGAGGATCCAGGCTCTGGAGAAAGAGCTGGACAACGCCAATGAGTTGCTGTCAAGTTCTAAGCTTAGAGGTCACTCATGTTATTCAGTTTTTTGTCCTTTTAACACCAATTTCTATTGTGAACGTTTTAAAGTATATCAACATCAAAATGTTCTTGAATTTAAGAGAAGCCAACACTATGCCTTGTAGGAGTTTTGTTTAAATAACTGACCCATGATCTCTACTTTTTCTGTCTCCAGGCCCTATCATTACAACATCAGCGCTGACAGAGAAGCAAATGACCACAATGTCTCCAACAGCAGCTGCTGTATCCAAGATCAAACCTGACATGAAGCTAACTGAGGTAAATGAATTTCAACACCCAAACTGTTGACTTTATTATAAGTCATAGTGAAACTTTCAAGTGAGTTGCCAGGATTGACTTGTACAAAGAAAGGTGCTTTCATCTGTATTTTCAGTTGTATACAGCCTATGTGGAGAGCCAGGAGCAGCTGCAGTTGGAACGACTGGAGAACAAGCGAGTCAACAAATATCTAGATGATATAGTACAGGAAGTGGAAGCAAAAGCTCCTGTTCTCAAACGGCAAAGAGACGAGCATGAGCGCATGCAGAAATCGGTGGCCAGTCTTTCTGCCAAGTTGGAGCAGGCTGTTAAGGTTCATAATGCATGGATAATACATTTAGTCTTGCATAACACCTTTTGCATTTTAAAGTCATACTAATCAATTTATGCATTTTCATGTGTGTTTACTTCAGGAGGTGGACCGTCTGCAAACAGAGGCTGATGAGGCCAACAAGCGCTCCTCTGTCTTGGAAAGGGACAGCCAGAGGTATGAACGGCAGCTGACAGACATGGCTCAGCAGGTAGATTCAGTTTATTAGTCCATTTTAATTGTGATGACATGTTTGATATTGAACATATAAATAATCTGATATCTGCACAACTTTTCTTTCCAGGTACGTGTGCTGCTGATTGAGCTGGAAGAGGCTCGTGGAAACCATGTGATTCTTGAGGAAGAGGGGAGCTCAGCTGATGTCAGCAGCACATCAGAGGTGATCAGCCAACATCTGGTGACGTTCCGCAGTGTGGAAGAGCTTCAGAAGCAGAACCAGTATCTTATAGCGGTCCTAAGAGAGCTCAGTGATGCCCAAGAGAAGGAAGAGTTTGAGGCCACCAGCAACCAGTATGTTATGAATTGGTTTTCTTTTTGTTGAAACCAAATGAATCAAGCTTTCCTAAACTGAAAATTTAAAACAATATTTATAAATGTTTTTTCCATCCAAAATGTTCTTGTTTTTCTTTCCCCAGTTTAATAATACAGTGGAACCTTGGATTGCGAGTAACCCAGTTTGCAAGTGTTTTGCAAGACGAGTAAAAATTTTGATTCGATATACAAGTGAGGTCTTGCAATACAAGTAGTACGTACGCTTTGTCTGCGGAGCGTCACGTGACACATGTCACAACTGAGCCGATGGTTCTCGCGCTTCACTCGTATAGTCAGTATCTGTATTGTAACAATGACCCCTCACGCCAGCCATGATTCTTTTCAAAGTTGAAGTGATAAGTGGAATAAGGATAAGTGGGTGGAACGAATCATCTGAGTTTCCATTATCTCTTATGGGGAAATTCGCTTTGATATACAAGTGCTTTGGATTACGAGCACGTTTCGGGAACGAATTATACTCACAATCCAAGGTTCCACTGTATTGAGTTTTATAATATATTGTGGTCAGTTATTTGTACATTTTGATGTGACTGACCTCGCTAAAACCTGTGGTTCAGCATTTTTTTCCCAGTTATTCTAAAGCACATGGCTGGCATACTCAAGCATGTAAACACTGGGGTGTTCTTGTGTGTCCGATTTGAATGTTTGTCACTTGGCTGATCAAATTGAACTGTTACAGGCATGGGGAGCTGGGGCAGAGTTTGGAGAAAGCCCAGGCTGAGCTTGAGTCCCTGAAGGAGCAGCGTAGCCAACAGATAAAGATGACTGAGTCCATTGTGAGGCAGAGGGACATGTACCGTGTGCTGCTGGCTCAGGCAACTGGAGTTAGCTTCCCTCAGCAAGGTAACCCAGACAGGATAAGCCAGTAAATCTCAAATGGCCATCCATTATGGAAGCCCACAATTTAAAGTAGTTTGGGTTCAGTCAGATAGCAAAAATTTCTCTTTTTGTGACATCACTACCCTTTACAGCAGTGGTTCTCAGACATTTTTTGTCATTCCCCATTTAAGAGGGCGGACGAATTTATTCAAATATCAAATAACACCAAGTTCAAAACTGATAAAATATAAGTGCAACTATGGTTTGACAGGGGGATAGTTTTCAGTTTTGCAGCACTTGTCTCATCCAGCATAATCGACACCATGTCTACAGTTACAGGGAGAATGAGCTGCTCAGCAATTGTGTGATTTTTTTTTTGTTTGTTTGTTTGTTTTTTGCACTGTGCAATTCTCTATACAACTTTGAAGCCATTTGTGCTTTGCTGTTCATTGATGCAGATTTTACCATGCGATTTTCTCCTGCTGACGGTATTCTGCCAGTCGAGTGGCTTATTAACGTTTCTAAATATCTTATTAATTTGTTGGGTCTCATGCTTTTTGCTGCCAGCGGCTTAAGACACAAGACACACACATGGGTCCCTCCTCTGCCCCCACTATTCCCTCCGTGAATCCAAGTGCAAGATAGGCTTCATCATATTTCCTTTTCAGCTGGCTTTTTGGTTGATAAGGCTTTAATGCCTGTCGTTTCTTTGTCTGCTTGCGCTGAATCACTTGCTTTTTTTTGTCGTCCATATAACAACTTTATTCCTTTAAGTTATTATGTCCACTACGTACACTATTGGCCCTCTGTGCGAACGTTTCCTTATATCGTTGCCTGGCAGTTAACATGCCGGCGTTAAACCATTATTGTTGCACTATGGTTCCACTTTTTTCTCCCGGGGGCCGAAATGATGTTATTTTAATTTACTTTTATTCATTTAAATGACCCATTTCTAATTTTATTCATTCACTGCGCCCCACCTGTCATGTCTTTATTTCCCACTAGTGGGGCGCGCCCCACACTTTGAGAACCACGGCCTTACATTATCTGTTTATTCATTTATTTATTTATTTATTTATTTATTTATTTTACTTTATTCCCTATATGTATATATATTTTATTTATTTTTTTTTAGGTACACCACCTGAGGAGTTGTCTCTCATGTCCACCCCCCGACGCTCACCTGCAGTGACTCCCACCACAGGAACACCCACTGCACTCGTCTCCATGGTGACGGAGTCTGCTGAAGCTGTAGAGGCTAAAGCAGCTTTGCGACAGGTGGGTCCTAGACAGCATTTAAACTGATATCTTTACAATTGTTTCTGCATTTAATCGTTAAAAGCCCACAGCAGTGACAAATTTTGTTGATATGATGTGAAATGTATTGTTCCAGGCCTTATTTTGCTTGATGGTCCATTTATTGTAAAGCAATTTCATGGCCTTGACTATTGAGATTTGTTTATTTCAGATATATAACTAGTCTTCCAGTGGATCGGGTTTTATGTATATGGTCACCTACTGTATGTAGCCACTACACTGCTGAGCCTGGCTCATTTGTTTTCATGACTGCCACTAGATGGCAATGTGTCTGTTGCAAGATCTTCACTTATGTGGATGAATCTGCCCCAAAGAGTCTTACACTTTTGTTTTAATGATGCAAGATAAATGTAAGTGTTTATGTAATCACCTACCTAGTTAGTTTATGAAAGAGCACAAAAGTACAACAGTCCCAAGCAGGCACAAAGGAAAGGAACTAAGCTTAAAGGAAATTCT